TATATGTGTATGTTATTTGCTGTTTGTACTTGTAGTACAGCCCAGAATTGTTTTTTGTTTTTTTTTTTACAAACACACTAACACCATTTTTAAAAAAAAAAAAAAAAAACCTCTGACCTTTGACCCTGACCTTGACCCAAACACTTACCCTGGCACTGAACTAGATCAAACCTTGATCTAGGTATTTTTTCTTTATTTTTTTCCATTATTTTTTAATATTTAGTTATTTATCTTTATTTTTTTTTTTACAAACAGTTGGGTTTTTTTTTTTTTCTCTGCAAGGAGAAAGAGAGATACAATGTATCTCTCTCCTCCATTCAGAGAGAAAAAAACAAGGGGGATGGGCTTCACAGTGACTGATCACTGTGATAGCCAATCAGAGGCTATCACAGAGATCATGTGACCCAGAATCGGGAGTCCGGGGTCCCGATTGTTATAGCTGGACCCGGGGCTCTCAGTGAAACCCCAGTCTTTGTGCTAGGAGTGCACTCCCAACAGAAAGACAGGTACGCAAATATGTGGCTCCAAGGAAAAAAGGCCAGTTCTGTGAGGCCGCATATTTTTGTTCGTCGTCGGCGCCAAGGAGTTAATCTCATTTCTTGATGCCCTAAAATGTCAGGACAGTAAAAATACCCCTGAATGACCCCTTTCTGGAAAGTAGACAGTCTAAGGTATTTAGTAAGACTCATGGTGAGTTTGTTGAAGTAGTAAATTGTTGTCACATTTTTGGGATCATTTAGAAATTAAAAATAAAATTAACTTTTTTTTTGTTGTCATTTTAACAAATTATTTCTCACACACAGCATAGGTATACTTATGATTACACCCCAAAACACATTCTGCTTTGCCTCTTGAGTATGGGGATACTACATGTGTGTGATTTTTTTCATAACCTAGATGCATAGAAGGGCCCAAAATCTAAGCAGCACCTTTGGGCTTTTAATGAGCATAAAGTACGCATCTAATTTCCTGACTGCCTATCACATTTTTGGAAACCTAGGAGCACCAGGAAAGTGGCATTACCCACAAAATGACCCAATTTTGGAAAGCAAACACTCCAAGGTATTTTCTGAAAAGCATATTGAATCTTTTGAAAGTTTTCCAAAATCTTTTTTGCCACAAGTTTTTGGAAAATGTAGGAAATAAATGGAAAATGCATTTTTTCACACAAAGCTGTCAATATTAAGTTATTTCTAACACATCATAGTCCTACTTAGAATTACACCTCAAAACACATTTAGCTACTCCTCCCAAGTACGGTGATACCACATGTGTGAGACTTTTTCACAGCCTAGCCACACAGAGAGGCACAAAATCCAAGGAGTACCTTCAGGCTTTATAAGGCAGTGTTTCTCAAACTTTTTTCAGTCAAGGCACCCTTTAAAATTATGGATAATCTCAAGGTACCCTTTAAAATTCTGCACAATCTCAAGGCACCCCATTCTAAAATGTAAAAAACTATGCTACACACGTCCACACACACAGTGCACCCAACAATCAGAGGTGATTTATTCTTCCAAAGCAAATATACCTTTGCACACTAGTACTGGCTAGTGTTCCAATGTGTCTCTCTCAGTTCCTCTCCCTCACTCTGCTAATGAGACCCCAGTGCTGATGGAGAGGGGCAGGAAATGGAAAACAACAGTGATGTGCACTTACCCAACTTTCTCCTTATCAACTGATGATGTCATTGGTTGTTAGGATGCCGGCAGCTAGACGGTCATAGAAATGCACAATGAAATATGTGGCTTTATGTACTAAAAGGCAGGATTAATCCACCTGCTGGCTTGTATACATTTTTGGGCAATTTCTAGGCATTTTGCCAACACACACGTGAAGAAGCCTGAAGGCACCCCAGGGTGTCTGGGCACCCTGGTTGAAAAAGGCTGTTCTAGGGGCATACATTACACATCTAATTTCCTGACTACCTGTCACATTTTTAGAGGCCCTGGAGCACCAGGACAGTGAAAACACCCATAAAAATGAACACATTTTGTAGTTTCTAAGAAGCATGGTGAGTCTTTTGAAGACTTCATTGTTTTGCCACAAGTTTTAATATATATAATATACTGTATTTCTCACACAGCATAGGCATACTTAGAAAACACCTCAAAACACTTTCTACTAAATCTCCTGAATATGGCAATGCCACGTACACTATATTGCCAAAAGTGTTGGGACACCGGCCTTTACACACACATGAACTTTAAAGGCATCCCAGTCTTAGTCCGTAGGGTTCAATATTGAGTTGGCCCCGCCCTTTGCAGCTATAACAGCTTCAACTCTTCTGGGAAGGCCATCCACAAGGTTTAGGAGGGTGTCTGTGGGAATTTTGACCATTCTTCCAGAAGTACATTTGTGAGGTCAGGCACTGATGTCAGGGAAGAGGCCTGGCTCGCAGTCTCCGCTCTAATTTTTCTCAAACGTGTTCTGTCTGGTTGAGGTCAGGACTCTGTGCAGGCCAGTCATGTTCCTCTACTCCAAATTTGCTCATCCACGTCTTTATGGACCTTGCTTTGTGAACTGGTGTGCAGTCATGTTGGAACAGGAAGGGGCCATCCCCAAACTCTTCCCACAAAGTTGGGAGCATGAAATTGTAGAAAATGTCTTGTATGCTGACGCCATAAGAGTTCCGTGAGACACCAGTCCCAGTCATCCCCTGCGGACAACTGCATGCCTGGAACGACAGGACCTCTTTTATTCTTCCTTTCTTCAGCCTCCTGTACTTCCTGGCTAACTGAACATGTAATTCCTGGGGGCAGCCACCTACCCGTAGGCTAAGCTTCCTTGGCTTATAGAAACTGGGACTGCTATAGGAGATGCTACATTAAGTTATATTCCCTGGCCACTCATATAGAGTAACCATTACAGCACATTGGTTTTGAAACAATTGGCTGATTTGTGTGACAGACATGATACAATGTCCAGTATACTGTAAATTATTATACAGGATTTATATAGGTTCAACAGTTTTCACAGTGCTTTACAATATAAAGGGAGGCAGTACAATTACAATACATTTCAGTATATGCAGACTGCTTCTACAAACATTTGTGAAAGACTGGGTCGCTCTCAGGAGCTCAGTGAATTCAAGCATGGTACCGCGATAGGTTGCCACCTGTGCAATAAGTCCATCTGTTAAATTTCCTTGCTACTAAATATTCCACGCTCAACTGTTAGTGGTATTATAACAAAGTGGAAGGAACTGGGAACAACAGCAACTCAGCCACGAAGTGGTAGGCCACGTAAAATGACAGAGTGGGGTCAGCGCATGCTGAAGCGCATAGTGCTCAAAAGTCGCCAACTGTCTACAGAGTCAATAGCTAAAGACCTCCAAACTTTGTGTGGCCTTCAGATCATCACAACAGCAGTATGTGGAGAACTTCATGGAATGGGTTTCCATAGCCAAGCAGCTGCATCCAAGCCCTACATCACCAAATGCAATGCAAAGCGTCGGATGCCGTGGCGTAAAGCACTGGACTCTAGAACAGTGAACACGTGTTCTTTTGGGGTGACAAATCACGTTTCTTTGTCTGGCAATCTAATGGACATGTCTGGGTTTGGAGGTTACCAGGAGAACGGTACTTGCCTGACTGCATTGTGTCAAGTGTAAAGTTTGGTGGAGGGGGGATTATGGTGTGGGGTTGTTTTTCAGGGGTGGACTTGGCCTCTTAGTTCCAGTGAAGGGAACTCTTAAGGAATCAGCATACCAAGACATTTTGGACAATTTCATGTTCCCAACTGTGTAGGAACAGTTTGGGGATGGCCCCTTACTGTTCCAACATGACTGCACACCAGTACATGAAGAAAGGTCCATAAAGACATGGATGAGCAAGTTTGGGGTGGAGGAACTTGACTGTCCTGACCTTAACCCAATAGAACACCTTTGGGATGAATTAGAGCGGAGACTGCGAGCCAGGCCTTCTTGTTCGACATCAGTGCCTGACCTGACAAATGTGCTTCTGGAAGCATAGTCAAACCTTCCCATAGACACCCTCCTAAACCTTGTGGACGGTCTTCCCAGAAGAGTTGAAGCTGTTATAGCTGCAAAGGGCCGGCCAACTCAATATTGAACCCTACGGACTAAGACTGGATGCCATTAAAGTTCTTGTGCGTCTAAAGGAAGGCGTCCCAATACTTTTGGAAATATAGTGTATTTAAAAGGGAAGTGTAACACTATTTTGCACTCTTCTAGGTATGTTCTGTATTCAGACATTTTTGTGCGTGCTGCATCCTTGAGTGTCCATTTGCGTCTTTTTAATTTATTGAACCTAGCACATGACCAATTTTTTATTTAGTTTTAGTATCTGTGTAGGAGCAGAGTTGTCACCCTGGGATAGGATTTCAGAACACCCAACCCTCTTCTCATCTCCATAGGGGAACGTGTAGATCACAGAAAAGAACTGATGAGAGCTGATTACACTGAGATTTCAATTTAATGCACAGGAAGTTACAAGAAAGCTGGAATATTTTGGCAGGACCAACAGGTATTTTTCTATACTTGCAGAATATGTCCTTGGCCTGAAAAGAAGAAAACTAATGCAACCACACAAGGAATGGTTCGCTGCAATATATTACATTTTTGTTTTTGGGGTTTAGATACACTTTAAGTACTGTTTTAGTTACATATGTAAAACAAATAGTCTGTTATCCAAAGTCTACAAGATCTGTTTTCATAGAGGAGTATTATGTTTTTAAGGGTTTTTTTTATATTATCACTAGGCCATTAATTCTACTGATCTGATTTCTATTAATTGTGCAGCCATTTTCAAGCATGAAGACTATGGGTACTGTTTTTAAAACCTTTGATTTAACCTATGGCAAATTGTGTCTGTGCTTTGAGTTACACTTTCTCGCTACTGCTGGGAAGAGCTATAAATTAATAAATTAAATAATAATCCTTTTTTGTTAAATATGGATTTGAAGAAACTGTCAGGGGGTTCACTCTGCTGGGCCTTTCAGAGAAACCACACCTTAGACTGCCTCTCTTCTCCTTCTTCATGGTAGCTTACACTCTCTGTGTTTTGGGCAACTGTATTATTTTCATGCTCATCTTGACCCAGTCTCAGCTCCGCACCCCGATGTACTTCTTGCTGGGAAACCTTTCTGTTGTTGATATTTGCATGACTTCTATCACCATCCCTCGGGCTCTTTGTAGCCTCCTAACTCAAAATAAGGCCATCTCATTTCATGCTTGTTTTTTGCAGCTCTTCCTCTTCCATGCAGTTGGTAATATGGACAGCTTTCTACTGGCCATCATGGCCTTGGATCGGTATGCTGCTGTTTGCCAACCCTTGCATTACACAACCATCAAGAGCAATAAGACATGCATCAGTTTGGTAACTTCTTCGTGGGCTGTTTGTTACTTTACATTCCACCCTGTTCACCGCCATGACATCTACTCTTCCCTATTGCAATTGGGTTATCCATCACTATTTTTGTGATGTTCCGGCCATGTTGCTGCTGTCTTGCAAAGACACTTATGCCCAGCAAATGACTGTTTTCATTGAGGGGTCCTTAATTGTCATGGGCCCCATGTTGTTTATCCTGGGCTCCTACATTCTCATCATAAAAGACATTATGAAACTACGGACCTCCAAAGGTAGAATGCGAACCTTCTCCACTTGTTCCTCTCACTTAACCGTGGTCATCTTATTTTACAGTTCCATCATATTCATGTACTTTCGGCCAAGTTCCCTCTACTCTGTAACCTATGATCGGGTCATCAGTGTGGTCTATAGTATCATCACACCAATGTTCAACCCATTTATATACAGTCTAAGGAACAAGGAGGTTAAAGGAGCGATGAAGTGGGTCACACAATGCTGCAGGGATGAAAGTTTAAAACGGACTCCTGAAAAAAAAAGAGAAGATTAGATTTATTAAGGGGAAAGGACTTCATTCCCAATGTGTGTGTCAAAGTCCACTCAACACAAAAATAATAAATAATAAAATTAAATCTGAACTCCAGGCAGATATAATAAAACACAAAAAATGCAATTATGTATTTTACTTAAAACAAAATGAAATGTAGTTTGTCTAGATCCGGATTTCTCAACCAGGGTTCCGTGAAACGCTAGGGTTCCTCCAGAGGTTGCCAGGGGTTCCTTGAGCAATGAGCAATTTTTACCTCTCAGATAAGTTCCCACTGACACTAATGATCTTTTTAGCAATCTGTAAAGGGGTAATTCTTCCCAATGACCACAAGGGTAAGGAGCATTCTTACCTCTGACTATCACATTAATGTATCATGTATTGTAGATAAAGACATTTTTAGCAAGAGTTCCCTGAGACCGGAAAGTTACGTCAAGGGTTCCTCTGCGTTGAAAAGGTTGAGAAAGGCTGGTCTAGATCCGCGGTCACTAAATAGTGGACCACAGTGCAAGAACAGTCCGAGCAGCACTGCCGCCCAAACCTCCAGCCCACCAGACTAGAATAACAGATCCGCTGCTCAGCAGGGCGGTCGCCCTGGCAGCCAATGACACTGTCTCTCCCAGCTCCCGCTCCCTTTCTGTCCACAAGTGTGTGCCCCTCCCCCATCAGCAATGATCCCGGCAAGCTCCTGCCTCCCGCTCCTGTCTGCCCTCAAGGTAGGGTGTGTTCTTTCAGAGGCACTCTGATGGGCACATTTAATGTTAAAGTGTAATGCTGATGGGCACATTTAATTTTAAGGGGCACTGTGATGGGCACAACATAGAATGTGCCTATCAGAGTGCCCCTTAGAATAAAATATGCCCATCAGAATGCCCCTTAACATAAAATGTGCCCATCAGCATGCCCCTTATTTTATGTTAAGGGGCACTCTGATGGGCACAATGTACGTTAACGGTCACTCAGATGGGCACATTTTATGTTAAGGGGCGCTCTGATGGGCACAATGTACGTTAACGGTCACTCAGATGGGCACATTTTATGTTAAGGGGCACTCTGATGGGCACAATGTACGTTAACGGTCACTCAGATGGGCACATTTTATGTTAAGGGGCACTCTAATGGGAAACTTTTATGTTAAGGGGGCACTCTGATGGGAACATGCAATGTTAAGGGGGCACATACTGTGGAAAGGGGCATGCTGATGGGCACATGTGATGGAAAGGGGCACTCTGATGGGGAATATGATGTAAAGGGGTTCTCTGATGGGGAAATATGGAAAGGAGTACTTCGAGACTACGGGAGCACTCTGACGGACACTCTGGGCATACCTGATGTAAGGTGGTACTGTGTTTTGGGGATACCTGATGTAAAGGGGTACTCTGATGGGGACAACTGATGTAAAAGAGCACTCTGATGGGCACATCTGATGTGATGGGGATACATGATGTAAAGTGGCACTCTGATGGCGACACCTAATTTAAGGGGGCACACTGATTGCCATACCCTATGTAAGGTGTCACTGTGATGGGGGAACCTTATATAATGGGGCACTCTAATGGGGACCACTGATGTAAGGGGGCATACTGATGGGAGACACCAAATGTAAGGGGGCCTTCTGATGCAGAAACCTGATGTAAGGGGCACTCTGATGGGAATACCTGATGTAAGGGGGCACTCTGATGGAAATGTCTGATGTTAGGGGGGCACTCTGATTGGAATTCCCAATGTAAGGGGCACTCTGATGGAAATGCCTGATGTATGGGGGCACTCTGATGGATAACACATTACTTAAGGGAGCACTCTGAAGGGGACACCTGATATAGGGGAGAACTCTGATGTTGGCGACTGATTTATGGGGGAAGTCTGATGGTGGCACCCAATGTAATAAATTACTCTGGAGGGGGAACTTGATGTAAGGGGGAACACCAATGGGGACATTTATTTTCGGCCCTCGGCCAGAAGACGAATTTAGTGACCGGACCTCCTTGAATTTTAATTCAATACCCCTGGTCTAGATCAATCAGGTTTCCTTCAGAGGTTGCTAGGAATTCCTTGAGCAATGAGCAATTTCTGCCTCTCAGATAAAGAACCACAACAGCCTATGATTTTTTTTAGCTATCTTTAAGGCTAGGAGTCTTCCCACCGACCACAATTGTAAGGAGCATTCTTCCCGCTGACCAACGCTCTAATGTACTATGATCTGGTTTTGGGGTGGGAAGGTGACCTAAATGTATTGCTTCACTGCAACAGAGAAAAGTCAGATCAACAGCATAGCTACATTGTTTGGTATGATAGTGTTAAAACTTAAAACTCAAGGCTAGAAAGGAAATACATGTTCCTGGGTAAATACATCCTCGAAGCTCCAAAACTCTCAGGGAGAAAAAAATAAGTTATTTTCTGTGGAGGTGGTTCACATCTCTAGTCCAAGTCGCCTAAGGCCAAATGCCTAAAGTTTGAAAAAGTTTTAGAGCTACTATCGTAGCTTGAATTGGGCAGATTGGTGCGCTTCTGAAGCAGCTTAAAGCAGAAACACATAGGCTGGCCATACACAATACAATTTTCTGTCCAATTTCTGCCCAATTTCCTTTAGATTTACCTTCAACTATGTAGTGCAAGGTCTTGCCTAATTGGATACAATTGAAAGTGTTGTTTAGGTTTGACCTCCTATTATATGGTTTTTGGTAAATCTAAAGCAATTTTCTAAAGAAAATTGTATAGTGTATGGCCAGCCATAGTAACAAATTATGTAATTGATGATAGTTTTCTTTATTGGCTAATACAAAAATTCCAAAGCTCCAAGACGTTTGTAAAATGCTGTACAAAAACACTTAAAAAACGCTCAACAAACATTAAAAAAACCCACAAAAATACAACACTCAGTTGTTAACGCAGCCTTAGACAAGTCCTATATACAGTATGTATTTGTTTCACTTTGGTTTTATTGATTTTAAAGAAATTTACACAGGATCGGTATCAGATGCTATGGAAGAGCCCATGTCTTTAATACATTTTAGGATGGCCAAAACTTGCAATCTCAGAGTTCTGAGTTTGAAACTCAGAATTCTGACTTTAAAACTCAGAATTGATACAGTATGTCAGATGCATTTTGTTTAAACAAAGGTACCGAATATATACAATACACAAAAAAAAGCTAAAAAACAAAGAAAAGAAAAACATCAAGTCAAAATCATAAGATTTTCCCAGATATACAGGAAACCATGGGTGACTAAAAACCCTCCATTTGTAATGAGAACGGACTTATCAAAAGTTACATCATGAGCCAACTGGGCGAGGTGCATATAGCAGAAAGATTTACAAACCAGTATCACAGCTACAACAGTAATAGAAGTAACAGCAAAAAATCCTCAAGTTATATAGGGTACAAGAAAGGCCGGTGCCATAAAAAAAAATGTATTTCAACTGTGCATTTATCTGTTTGTCTGAAGTTTCACTTATAAAGGATGCACTGATACCAGTATTGGTGCCAAATACCGAATAGTACTTTTACTCGTGAAAATGCTCCTGATACCTGAACCAGATACTTTGCGGTGCGATTTGTGTCAATACAAAATGTATGGATGCAAATTGCACCGTAAAGAATTGCATGTGATTTGGACAGGAATGGGCAGATTTTTTTGGTACACGTGTATGTCCTGAAATACGGTTATAGTCCTGAAGAAGCGGACCACCAAAACGCTTAGGCTAGTTTAGGACATAACCAGCAGCATGGAGTTTTTATGATTATCTGTGATGTTTTAGTTGAAATATCTGTAATAAACATTGTGCTCCATTCATAAAGCGGTATTTTCCTTTTTAACTTTTGCAATAAAATACCATTTTCAAAAAATGTTTGCAATTCACAAAAAAAAAGCTACTTAAATAGCTATTTCATCAAAATATGCGGTATTTAGCTCATGAAACCATGCAGTATTTTATCTCATGTGATATCCAGTGGGATGGATACAGTGCAGAAGGATTGGAACTACTGTCAGTTTTCATTGCTAATGAGGTACCGTCGAAATATGCCAACTCACTAAGTCAGTGAGGTTCCTGCAGCATAAGTATTAATTTTGTGTCAATATTGTATTCCTACAAAAAAAAAAAAAAAAAAGGTTGACGGAAATACCAGTCAAAGGGAAGCTGCTTTCAAAGAATACACGTGGTGTTGAAAAACAATTACACTATATTGCCAAAAGTATTGGTCGGCCTGCCTTTCCACGCACATGAACTTTAATGTGTCTTAGTCTTAGTCCGTAGGGTTTAATATTGAGTTGGCCCCGCCCTTTGCAGCTATAACAGCTTCAACTCTTCTGGGAAGGCCGTCCACAAGGTTTAGGAGGGTGTCTATGGGAAGGTTTGACCATTCTTCTAGAAGCACATTTGTCAGGTCAGGCACTGATGTCGGGGGTGGAGGCCTGGCTCACAGTCTCCACTCTAATTCATCCCAAAGGTGTTCTATGGGGTTGAGGTCAGGACTCTGTGCAGGCCAGTCAAGTTCCTCCACCCCAAACTGGCTCCTCCATGTCTTTATGGACCTTGCTTTGTGCACTGGTGTGCAGTCATGTTGGAA